GGTTGGAAGGGACCTTCAAAGATCATCCAGTTCCACCCCCCTGCCCCAGACAGGGCCATCACTAGCCCAGGTTGCCCAAAACCCCGTCCAACCTGGCCTTGAACCCTTCCAGAGAGGGGGCAGCCACAGCTTCTCTGGGAAACAAGATCTCAAGATCGCTATTAAGTAGGAGATTTCCTTTTCTCATAGCTCCTTTTATTTAATTCACTCCAGATAAGAGTTACAGCAGCAGAGCCCAGGGGTGAGGATTAAAGGGAGGGCAGAGACAGGTGATGTGATAGTGGGGGGCTGCTACAGACCACCCAAGCAAGGAAGATGGAGCACATGAGACCCTCAGTAGACAGATGGGAGCAGCCTCACGTTCACAAGCCCTGATCCTCATGGGGAGCTTCAACCACCCTGATATCTTGTTGGAGGGACAACATAGCAGGGCACGAGCAATCCAGGAGGTTCCTGGAATGGATGCATTGATGGCAACTTCCTTCTCCAAGTGATGGAGGAGCCAACAAGGAGGGGCTGGTGGGGAGCGTGAAGCTCAAGGGCAGCCTGGGCTGCAGTGACCGTGAAATGGTGGAGTTCAGGGTCCTTAGGGCAGTGAGGTGGGCAGCAGCAAGCTCTCTACCTTGGACTTCAGGAGAGCAGACTTTGGCCTCTTCAGGGAGTGCCATGGGATAAAGCCCTGGAGGGAAGAGGGGCCCAGGAAAGGTGGTTGATATTCAAGCATCAACTCCTTCAAGTGATGCATCCCGTCAAAGAAGAAGTCAGATAAGAATGCCAGAAGGCCTGTGTGGATGAACACAGAGCTCCTGGACAAGCTCAAACACAAAAAGGAAGCCAGGAGAGGTAGCCTGGGAGGGACACAGAGAAACTGTCTGAACAACCAGGGATCAGGTTAGGAAAACCAAAGCCCTGAACAGAATTAAATCCAGTCAGGGACATCAAGGGCAACAAGAAAAGCTTCTATAAATACATCAGTGATAAAAGGAAGACTAAGGAAAATGTGGGCCCCCTCCAGAAAAAAAAAAACAAAACAACAAAAAACAGGAGACCTTGTTACCCAGATGTGGAGAAGACTGAGGTACTCAATTACTTTTTTGCCTCAGTCTTCACCGGCAAGGGCTCCAGCCACACTGACCAAGGTGGAGACAGCAAAGGAGAGGACTGGGAGAATGAAGAACTGCCCACTGTAGGAGAAGATCAGATTTGAGACCATCTAAGAAACCTGAAGAGTTCAAGGCCATCTAAAGGGACCTGATGAGATGCATCTGTGGGTCCGGAGGGAACTGGTAGATGAATCGGCCCAGCCACTATCCACTGTATCTGAAAAGGCATGACAATCTCATAAAGTGATCACTGACTGGAAAAGGGAAAACATAACCCCCATTTTTAAAAAGGGTAAAGAAGGAAGACCCAGGGAACTACAGGCCAGACAGTCTCACCTCTGTGCCCGGCAAGATCCTGGGGTGGATCCTCCTGGATACTGTGCTGCTGCTCATGGAAAATAAGGAGGGGGCCGGTGAGAGCCAACACGGCTTCACCAAGGGCAAAGCATGCCCGATGAATTTGGTGGCCTTCTACGATGTGGTTACAGCGCTGGTGGATAAAGGAAGATCCACTGACATCATCAACCTGGACTTGTACAAAGTGTTTGTCTCCACATCCCTGTCTCTAAATTGGAGAGACGTGGGTTTGATGGATGGAGCACTCATGGGTAAGGAACTGGCTGGGGGGTCACACTCACAGCTGTGGTCAGTGGCTCGATGTCCAAGTGGGAGCAGTGACGAGGGGTGTCCTCAGGGATCGGGGGTTGGCACCGGCGCTGTTGAACATCTTTGTTGGGGACATGGACAGTGGGGCTGAGCCCACCCTCAGCCCATTCCCCCCGACCCCGAGCTGTGTGGGGTGGTGACACGCTGGAGGGAAGGGATCCATCCCGAGGGGCCTGGGCAGGCTGGAGAGGGGGGACCCTCTGAACCTCAGCGAGGGCAACAAGGCCGAGGGCAAGGTCCTGCCCAGGGGTCGGGGCAATCCCAGGCACAAATCCAGGCTGGGCCAGGAGGGGCTGGAGAGCAGCCCCAAGGAGAAGGACTTGGGGGGCTGGGGGTGCAAACTGCCTGTGAGCCAGCACCGTGCGCTGGCAGCCCAGAAAGGCCCCGTGTGCTGGGCTGCACCCAGAGCAGGGGGGGCAGCAGGGCCAGGGGGGGATTCTCCCCCTCTGCTCCGCTCTGGGAGACCCCCCTGCAGGGCTGGGTCCAGCTCGGGGGCACCAACAGCAGAAGGACACGGACCTGCTCCAGCGGGGCCAGAGGAG